TTTCCAGCAATTGAACGGATTGATCAATCAAACTGCCATGTTTAAGATAAAACTACTGGTAAAGAATTACTAACTTCTAACTAAATTGATTTAAATAAAATGTATTTAATTTTATTCGAATAAATTTGATTTAAATAAAATAAATCTACATTATTAGATTTAAAAAAAAATCACGATTTTTGTTTACACTGCACTTTATACACACATGCGCTTTTTTTGGAGTGGTGACGTCTAAACCACTTTCCCGCCGAATCGCTTTCTTTTTTTTTTTTTTTAAGTGCGCTTAATTAGGTGTCACTCAGCTCGAGCGCGTAACCTTGGCCAACGCTTAGACGCCTTTTTGCCGCACAAGTCGCGCACTGAGTGCGTCAGCCCGTCGCGCGCTGACTCAACCAGTGCAACGAAGATTTGATGTCTTCATCTTGAAACAGACAGACATAGAGGTACACTACTACGCAGTTTCTGTCCGTCGATGCAAAAGCCTATACGTTCGTTTGTGTCCGCGACGAAAACGGCTGACTGCGTTGCTTCCAACTTTGCCGCGTCCACATTCCCGTTGTATTCAAATTGCACTCCACCACTCGAGTGGTCCTACCCGATACCGATCTATAGCTGAGTGCAGCGCACACTTGTTTGGCCTTCGACAAGAGCCGTACTGATCGTGTCGCACTCCACAAGGTCGGATTGTTTGTGCGCAGTGCGCCCGCCGAATTCACGGCACGAACCGCGAAGGACATTTTTCTGCCGTCCAACCGTACCCTGGACTGCCGTCCTCAGCCCGGACGCTATCGGTGCGGGCGAGTGTTGTGCAGATAAGGTTTTTACAGTTGACCTCAACTTGGAGAACGTTCGCCTATTGTGGACAGCTGTTAGTTAAGAGTAATAGCTAGAAGCTATACGCTCCATAGGAACTCCGTTTATAAGAACATTGAAGCCGCTGCGTCGCGTGAGTGCGAAGCACTCGAGTGCTAGATATCGGTTGTCATGGCGCTTTCCAGTCTCCAAATAATCTGCAACGATGACGTAACGCTAATTATGAAACGAGAACGCTTGACAATTTAGGGTGTTTAAAAGAAGAAAAGAAAACAATAAGAAATGAGTGGACACAACACGCATGTTTACTGTTTCAGGATTGTACCTGCAGCGCTACTTCGTAAAAACGAAATATAGCAGGAGGTATATCGCCGCAGACACACTCTCAGAAATAGGTGTTGTGGTGCTTACACCGCTTGTCCCCGTATATACCACCCCAAAAACTACCATTCAACATTCACTCCACTGACACCGAACCGGCGATACCAACTTTCACGAGCTGCTTGATAGTCGAGCGATACCACTCATTAAAATAACTAACGTACTCATTAAATACTACAGCAAGCCCCTCAAGGTTTTGTTGTCCCTACTTCAATAACTCAGTCATCTATTTTTTTTGTTGCACTCTCTGATGCGTACATGAGCTCATTAGTAAGTTATATCACACACAAATCAGGCCACTCGTAAAAGTTGGTATCGTAAGTTCAACGTTAGTGGACTGAACGTCGAAATGTAGTTTTGAGGTGTGATGTATGGGACAAGGGGTGTAAATACTACACCTCTTATTTTTAGAGCGTAATATGAGCTGAAACACAAACCTTTATTCTGCATCTGCGGTACTCACCAGCTCTATCACACTATATAAATCTATCATTTTTTTTAAATAGTCCGAAGTATGACACTTCAAGGTCGTATCTCATGTTTATAAATCGTACCACAGCTCCCTATTGAAAATCGCTTTGATGGGACTTTAGGATTTTTTTAAAGGGTTTGAAGGGGACTTCAGGAATTTCTGAGATGTTTGAAGGGGGCAGCGATATTTTCTGGTGGGTTCGTTGGCCCCGTCAGAAGCTCTCCTGAAATGTCTGAAGTCTTCTTTAGAATGCCTTGAAATGTCTGAAAGCCTGTCAATAACATTTCTAATTGGGCTCTGTAAAAAAAATCCTATTTTCGCCCCCACTGTGCGAAGAAACGAAAGCGATGGCTGTAGCACTATCGCGCAATGCGGGCGGAATGGTGCTGTCACGTACACCCGCCGGTAATATGAAGGTGAACACCTTACCCGGTTTCTTGCCTGTTTTACGGCTCCCTAAAGCTACATTAACTCTCAACGTCTCAAATGGTACGTGCCTTGGGGGTCTAAACTTTGCGTTCTAGCCCTTTTCTGGAACAAAGCTTGTTCCAAAACTTGTAAGAGCGTCAAAAACAAGAAGAGGGCTGTTCACCTTTATATCGCTCACGGGTGTACTTGATGGCAGAGGTGCGCGACGTGGTTAACTCTCGAGGCTGGCGTCGTGTACGCCACGGACGACCCCTTTTAAATCTCGGGGATCCGTGAAGTAAGTGGGTAGGCGCGGTGAAAGTTTCTAAAACCATCCAACATTACGCGTAGCAACTGAATACTTCCAAAGTGGGACTTCGCACAACGCGAGTGTTGTTTGAAAACAAGTCTTTCAAGCAGACGACACGGAAGACCCTCCTTTCGTCGCGTCCTTACTGGCGGTATACGCGGGGCGGCCGACGAGAAAACCCGACTTCCCCGGCCTTGCGCGCAGAGAATGTTTTTTTTTTCGTAGTGACGACGACAGAAGATGAGGCCAAAATCTCCGCAAAATGTCGCCGTAAAGCGGTCGCTTCAAAATTGGCATGTACGCCGAAGAAGCACAAAAAACTGTTTCAGCTCATATTCTCCACGATAGCACGTGTGCTTTAGGGAACTTTTTGTTCACGGTCGAACCAACTAGCGCACAGGTTAGGTCATATTTACGTGGCCATGCTGTATTAAACGCGTTAGCATTTATTGCCCTGGTGCGTGCATCCGTCTTTGGTTGGGACGGTCGTGGTTTGGACTGGACTGGGCTGGACTGCTTTCGTGGTGGCTTGGCGCGGTTCCCGCCGTGCTAATTAGCTCTGTTCGTTCGCTCCTTACGCCCCCTTTCGCTCTTACGTCAGAGGAAAAGAGTGTTTGCGCACGCTTCAATGACGCGCCGCGAGGGGATCGAGCGGCAGTGGCACAACGTACGCGACAACGTAAATCCGAGACGCAGCGACGGCGTCGTTTGCGCATGATCACCGACACTGGGGAGAAAAGATTGGCTCTTAGAAGACAACTGTACGCGGACCGTGGGGGGCGATTGAGGGAAGCTGTGGTGGCTGCATCGGAAGCCGTCGACGCCCGAAAGAATAGATTGACTCTCCGAAAACGACGGTATGCGGACAGTTGCGAGTTTGGAATTCTCATCCTTCGCATGGGTCGGAACCTCAGCGCCAAATATTAACGCATTTCGTCGAGAATCGGCGTAGCGCAGCAGCGATTTTGATGTCATTTTATACATCGCTATCGTAATGTTGTAATCAATGACAATGTTTAATGTAGTGCAACATTTTGTTAGAACAATTTTAGGTGAACTCTCAAGTGACCGCGTTCAACTGATAACTGCCAAGCGCTGCCAATTTAACCTCAATGAGCCTTGGCAAGTCAGATCTTGTACATGTCCACTTGCACAAGATACAGATAAATATTAATTATTGCTATGAAATTAGCCCTTGAAATTATCCTACACGAGGTTCCCGCTTCACCACAAATTGAAAAAAAAAACAATTAAGGTTAACACACGAGTTCTCACTGACTTAATAGGAACGAGTATTTTATGCCTTTATAACATTGAATTTTATTGCATGCTATTATCAGTGGTTTTGTAGAGCTGTTGCGATTTACTGCTTTCTTGTATGAATGTATGAATCTTATTTCTACGCTGACCCTTATCATATTCTTGAAAAATTCTAGCCTAGAACTTATTTATGGTACCGAAACAAAAATGTGCAGGGCATATGAAGGGCTGTTCACACAGTACACGATCACCTACGACATTTGGCAGACGCGATTTGCCGTCCAGTAGGAGCGCATAAAAGCAGATTAGCGGAGAAGTAAATTCGGGGAGGGAGGGGATTTAATGCACTCCTATGGGGTGCCAACTCGTTTACGCTAAAAATCGTGGGGAGTCATGTTTTGTCAAGATATCCCTTGACGCGCTTTTCTTATCAATGAGCTCAAAGTCTGAACATTTGAGCTTGCTGGGTTCATATTCAGGGAAGCTCTCGGTCATCAAGTATGTTGTCATCTATTGCCCTGTTGAGCCACTGCCGGGCTAGGGGGAAAAGGCAGGCTTTCTTATGTCCTTCGCATGGGAATATGATTTCTCTCTGGCATCGCAGCTCTTTAGGATCGCTGCGACCACATGCGTCCTACGGTGCTTTGACTCTTTCTAACGAGGCGCTCCAACCTCACCACGTTGTTCCTTTCGCTCCGAAGTGGAACTGGTGGAATTTCCAGACTAGTTAGACCTTCCTGCAGAAACCTGCGCGGAGCACCTCTTCATAAATAAGCGTTTATTTATCATAAGCCAAAAATATTTCAGTCAGCGCAGTGCAGTCATTTAGGATGAGTCGGCAAACATTTTCAATCGCTGTAGTCGGAACTGATCTCCGGGTGTCCATGCAATACTGGGTGGGGTAGCGTGGTCACGAACCCCACGTGGGAGAAAAAATCCCATTGCTCCAAATAAGAGCCTTAAAAAACACCGCTTACTAGCCCATCCGTGGTTGCGCACGACGATTTGTTGTGCGAACAAACTCCGCAAATGCACGGCTCACACCCTCCATCTGCTTGCTACCCACGTACGATTAGTCCCAATGCTCGAAGGTGTGACACTCGTCGTTTCTTGCGTCAGAAGTCGACACAATTCGGAGAAAGCTGCTGGCAAGCTGAACCGTGTACTTTGAACCGTTACGTCGTCGATCGACGAGTTCGAACGGGGAGAACCTCTTTTCCCAAATCTTTCATGAATCCGCAGACACGAGCCGATAAGCCATGACATGTGCCGATAAGGCGCGTGCTATCTGCCGTAAGTCGGAAATACCTCTCGCCCGGCCGGCGTTCCGATCGCCGCCGGTTCTGGACTTATCCGGCCTGGCGTGACTCGGCGAAAGACCCGATATAAGCGAGGTCTCCAGCAGCGGCCGTTCGCACTCGAAGCAACGGGATCTCCGAAGCCCTGTTTTACCCCGATACGTGAACCGTCCTTTGTCGACTGGCCGGGCTGCTTCGAGGCTCCTAAGGCGCTCGTGAATGACCGATCCGACTCCCAAGAGACAGTGGGAAGCCTCTGGTGAAAGCTGGGCTCCAGGCGTTCTCTGCGTCCTGCTTCCTAGACGCTGACACAGGCCACTCTATCCGGACATCCTCCGGACACAGGACCCTACCCCGAGCACACGTCTTTGAAGGCTTTGGTAAGCAATAAGCCCGCAGGGCACGGGCACAAACGTTCCCTGGCTGCGATTGGTCAAACCTGCTGCTGTATACCGACGGAATCTGTGAAGGCCACGTCCTCTGGACGCTGGACCTTATTCCGATCATAAGTCCTTGAAAGTCCCGAATGCAATAAGACCTAGGGCACGGGCACGTCTGTGCAAGTCACCTCTTGATGTTACCTGACTACGACTGGTGAAACCTGCTGGTGTATACCAAAAGAGTTTGTTAAAACCACGTCCTCTAGACGCTGGAACCTATTATTCCGAGCACACGTCTTTGAAGGCCATGGTAAGCAATACGCCCGCAGGGCAAGGGCACACTTGTGCAAGTGGCATTTTGATCCTATTCCGAACACACTTCTTTAATGGCCCTTGTAAGCAATAAGCCCGTAGGGCATGGGCATGTTCGTGAAAGTCGTCTTTTGATGTTCCCTGACTGCGATTGGTCAAACTTTCAGTTGCTGTACCAAAGACATGTTGGGTTGCTGTTCAGCTTTATTTGGGAACAATAAGACAGAAAACAGGACACGGGTTTGGGAATTTCAACCACCGTTCTGAACGTTCGGTTCCTTCTGCTACGCCGTTCTAAAGCAATGTTTTTGCTAAGCATGGTCGGGAAAATGTAGGATCGCGTAGACGTTTCAGACTCGTGCCATGCTCGCATTTGCATCTCATCACCGTCGTCTTCCACGTGCGAAATCAAACGTTCTAGCAAACCAAAAGTTGGCAAACTCCGCTCACGCATGGAAGACTTGGACGTATCGCGTTTAAAGTCAAAATGTTACTTATATTTTGGAACTTGTGACAATTACCGAAAGGCCTAAGTAAGCACATATAACGCTGCCTCTTGAATGACCTGCTTGGACGAGCCCTCATAGGTTCAACAACATAAGCTGCCACTTCTGTTTTGGGATCGAATATATTTGAAGTCCTCGGAAGACCATATCTCCCTGATTGCATTGTTCGCCAAGAGTGCTTTGCACGCAGCTTTATCTAAGGCGTTCACGGCTTGCTCGTACCCTGAGGACGAGGCCCATTCGCTGTCTGTTCAGTTCCTTGTCTGGAAGACTGAAGTGGTGTTATGACGTTATTTTCGTCTATGCTGAATAAAGTAAAACCAAGGCCACTCACTCGCGCACTGTTTGAAAGAAAACGTGGTGATAAGTGAGGGCTGCGATACATTCTGAACGATGCGTTTTTCGAGGTCTATGTGCTTGATACTTATCGCTACAACCTGGAGTAGTTTTCTTTCACGACAAGTTCTGAGCATGTCCAATGGTCGCAAATACGTTTATAAGGAGTTAGACTGCTGCGTGTCTGCACAGCGCCATCAAGAACAATCAAAACCTGTGAAGAGCCCCCATATAACGTCATCGGCAATCGGGCGCAGTGGTGACATTAGAATCGCGCCAACTCAGTCATTGGGCCCCAGCCCGATGCCGAGCATCCTTCGACGCCGTGATTGGACACGAGGTCCAGCCGAATGCTGACGCAGCACTCGTGTCCAATCACTGTCTGCACTCACTTTCACTGTGATGACGTCGAACCTAACTCTGATTTCTTGACAAGTGCTTCAGCTTGAACTTAAGCCGCGGTGACTCTCCTAATTCTTACGAAATATATAAATTAGGGCTATGAAGATAAATCAATTAAAAATAATATACCTTACAAAAGACATTCTGCAGAGACTGTTTGAGGCGTGTTTCTCTCACAATAGACCCTTTCCAAAATCGTGAAATGATGCATAGATTATGCGCAGCCGTCCTTAGTTGATCGCATTGCGACCGGCGTGAAGCCCGTGATTGGTTCCGAGTTCGAGCCGAGCACTGACGCACAGCACTCGTGTGGAATGCGTTTCGATCTGAGTACAGTTCGAATGATGACGATGCGCTTGTGTCCAATCCGTGCGCATGGTGCATGACCAACTAATGGCGGCCGCACATAACCTATGCATGATTTCGAAATTTCGAAAAAAAGGTCTATTGTCATGAAAAAAAACTGTTTACGGACAAGTTTGAAGCATACATATAGGTATAAATTAAACACGCTTCGAACGCAATAGACCTTATGCGAAATTGCTTGGTAATCTGACAACACTGAGAGCGTCGCCATTTTCATGTTGGCAAGCGTCCTCGGTACCGCAGCACGGTGGACGCATCGGAGACAAATGAACGGGCAGTGTGCGATGGTGCGGCGGCTGTGTTTTCCGTTTCCCGACCATGGAATGTGGACGAACGGTTTAAACAACCTATCGCAATTGTCTGACGAGACGCTCGGAGGCTGTGCACGCTGGCGACAACCCGCAGTTTGTAAGCTCTCGTAGCGAAGACTAGGACTTGCTCCGGCCGCTGCTTCGACGAGGTTGTCGCTAGCGCGCACAGGCCTCCGCGAGTTTCATCAGACAGTTACACGGTAGGTTGCTTAATCGTTCACGTTCCATGGTTGGAAGGAGGAAAGCACAGCTGCCGCGCCATCGCACACCGCCCCTACGGTTGTCCCCGATGCCTCCACCGTGCTTCGGTATACCGACGCCGCTTGCCAACATTCAAATGGCGACGCTCTCAGTGTTGTAAGACTACCAAGCATTTCGCGTAAGGTCCTTGAGGCATATGTCCGCACGTAAAATTTGTCGTCATGTCTGGTGCGAACACTGTGCCTTTTGTTTGATGTCTAAGCGATGCGACTGTGGCTTTATACGGAAGGGAACAGGGCTAGTTCCACAGGAGTTCAAGCTTCTCGTTACCTGACAATCACCGCGGCCTCTTATCGAAGCTTGTCTGCTGTCCTTGGCAGGTGTCACTGCTGTGATACGACAAGTCAAGTAGTAAATACAATGTCTTTGTTTTTCTTGCACAAACAAATAAGCGAAGATAAAAAGAACGGTTTACTGAATATAAACGTAGCGCGACAGCCGAGGCGGATGTTGGAGCCATGCTCTCAAGGGCTGTTTATTTTGGGTCAGTAATGACAGCTGTAGGCTGTAGCGCGCCACAGGCCGAGGAAAGAAAGACGATAACACAAGTGTGCCTAGCTTTGCGAATGTTTGCAACAGCTGGATCGTAATTACGTGGTTCGTGGGCCGTGTTTGCAACACAATAGGTGCGAGGAGGTGGCGACGGAAATCGTTGGTTGTCTGCTTAAGCGTTTTCAAGCTTGGCTAACACCACCTAGAATAATAATCAAGGCATGTGAACTACCTCCTTTTGTATACCGTGAAACGTTATCCTAGGATGGCCCCAGTTCAGCAATTGGGCTTCGAGTCAGACGCGGAGTGTTCTTCGATGCGTTGATTGAACACGAGGCCCCAACCGAGCAGTGATGCAGACCCTCGTGGCTAATCAGTGTCTGCGCTCGATCTTACTTTGATGACGTCGAAATGCTGGTGCACAGGCTCTGATTTTCCTAGGTGGTGATGTGCTGGGGTCCACTCACTTCATCCCAAGATACTTTATACTGAAACATTTCATCCCTGACACTTTCGCCCAAAGTCGTGTCATTCCAAGACGTTTCAACCCAAGGCGTTTCATCCCATTAGCATTACATGCCAGGGTGGTTCATACTTTGGATTGGCTCTGCCACACTTTATACCAATATAGTTCATTCCAGGGCAGTTAATCCCAGACACTTCATACCAAAGACATTTCTTACCTAGACGTTCTATGCCAGTGGCATCTAATATATTTCATACCTGATTAACTTGGTGCACCCACGAGTTGCTGAGCCTGTGCAAGGAGTGATCTTCTAGACTATTACTTGCGAATCATCATAGCAGTCACGTCAGGCACGTAGCGGGGGGGGAAGGGAGGGGGGGCTCTCCCTGATATCCTTAGTTTTTGCTAAAACCTCCTCTCGCTTTTCCCCCATCCATGGCGTTTTGCCATGGGCGCCCCCCCCCCCCCCCCCCCCACCCCCCTTAAATTAAAATAAAATCCTGGCTATGTGCCTGTCACGCCTGTGTGAAACAGGCAACTTACACCTGTTGTAACGTCTTGCTATTCCGATGCGGGCTCATATTAAACCACGATAATAAGCCCTTTTATTTAAATTAGCGTCATTTTGGTTTTTGTATCGCAGTGACCACAGACGGCTCGGTATTGGACTTTAGCGAAAGTCGGTCCATTCCACTTAAAGTCATTACTTTTTCCCTCCTAATATCTCCACTCTCGTTCTTCGAACCCTATTTGGAGTGCTGTTTCAAAAAAAAAAAAAATAAATAAATAAAACATGATTGCGCTTTGAAGACGGGGACATAGGAAGGATAGACACCACAGAGCGCTAGCGCTCTGTGGTGTCTGTCCTTCCTATGTCCCCGTCTTCAAAGCGCAATCATGTTTTCTAACGTACCATATACCAACTTGCCCGACAATCAGCACTTGCTGTTTCAAAGTGCTACTGTAATAGTCCGATTTACTTCTTCTCAAAGCCTCAAACCACGAAGAACCAATACCCTAAATCCATGTCACGTGAAACCCTTCCGAAATGTATCGTACCAAGACAACATTCACCATAAATATAAAAAAAATTAAAATGTTTATTTTACAGTTACCCCATCAATAAATGCAAAACATAACGCACCTTAACAGCACACCAATTCAGGCTAATGAACTCTTCAAATCACACAATTCGGGATAGTACATTCAATTAACGAGCCCTAAGTACATAGCATGAGCACGCTTTGAGAAAGCTGTCTGCTTCTTAGTTGCTGTAGTCCTTCAGGATCCGGCATAGACACTTGTTTGAACGCTCGTACTCTTCCTTTATGTACAACGGTGGCTAATGACCCCCGTCGAGCTGGATTGCTATCGCATTCACACGGAGTTGCTCGAAGAGAAGAGCACCCAGAAACTTGAGTACTGTAGCATAGGATGCACCGATAGAACTTTGGAATACCTGCTGCCAGCTTTCTACCCTGCTATTCGTTCTGGGAAGGCTGACTTCTGTCACGCGCTAGCAATTCCACATGGATATTGCGAATCTGG